CACATGAACCGATGGATCGAAGCTCTCTACAGTCCTGGTCGGTCAAACGAAGGCGGAGCTGCTGAAACGCGACATGCGGCACCTTTAGTTTGATCGCGTGTCTCGGTGGACGTCGCCGGGAGTCTCTGCAGGTCTGCGGCGAGCGTCCGGTCGACAACAAAAACCTCCGACAACAACAACAGCAGCAGCAGCAGCAGCAGGATCCGTCGTCCGAGTTGACGCTCGCCGACAAACTCCGACCGCAGGCACTTAGCTTGAAGAAGTTTCCAGGTGTGAGCAGCGCCGACGCTGGAGAAGTGTGCAAAAACACTGGATACAAGAAGTCTGCTGAACATGCATAACACAATGTAAACATTTAAAAAACCAAAGGAGAAGAAACCGTAACTAATCAAACTTAAACAACCAAAGAAAACTACTCGGCTGCTAAACTAGGAGAGCCTGGACGCTCAGGAGGCGTGGTGCCGGAACATGCAGGGAGATAAAGTCCGATTAGAGCGGAAGCTGGTCCAGTGGAGCTGTGGGCCGACTGGGAGGAAACCAGTTTGTGCGACTGGCGTAATGTTTAGAGGAGTAAAATCACCTTTAACGTGTTTCCAGTTCAGGCCGGCTGGTTTTAAACGCTCAAAAAACACCCAAACATGAAATGAGGCGTCTGTTGTCTGTACAGGCTGGATGATGAGGATTTAACCGTCCGAACCTTTAAAATCACCAAAACGACACCATTATTCAGCCAGAAAGCGGAAAACTTTGTTGTAACTACACATGTGATGTGATTCCACTGAAGGTCTTTGCTGCAATTTTAACCAAATTGAGATTTATTCTACGCCTCGTATAAAAATGTGCCAAAAACAAACCAGAATCTACGAAAAAAAAAAAAAAGACAAATTAAAAATGAGCTGTCCTTTATGCAAACAGGAAATAGACAAAACCTCAGAGGGTTTCCACAAAAAGCAGTAAAACATCTTTAACTATGGAGAATCTCCGTTATTTCGTCCAGTCGTGGCAACAGAAACGGGACAGGAAGGCCCAGAGGGGTCAGCTGTGCTCCATTTCTATAGTTTTAGATCATTTTAAAGCTTAACTTCTGTTTAATCGATCAGGTTTTAGGAACTTTTTGGACGTTATTACAGACTAAAGAAATCCTTTAACCTGCAGATTGAATAACAATGAAAACAGTTGTTACTAAAACACCAGAAATATCTGACATGTGGCCAAAAACTCAATAAAATCAGCAACAATTTGAACTTTAAGTCATTCACATGCAAAAAACCCCCATAATGTTTGCTGTTATTCAAAGTGATTATATTTGGTTTGTCTGGAAAGTTTTCAGTTTTCAAGATTTTTTAAACACGTGATAAATTCACAGATTTGTCGTCAGTTTCTTGATAAAAAATAATCGTGCCTTTAATCTGGACAAACACCAGAAATGTTCTGTGTTTTTAAGTTATTATTTTTTTACGCAATCTCCCATTTTTTTGTTGAAAAAAACACCATTTTAATGCACTCTGTGAACATTGTTGTGCAAAAGTTCAGATGCGTTCAAAGTCGAGTGTTCACACTTCGGTCGCACAAACTGGTTCCTGTGAAGCACACGGAGGCCTCGGCTGAGCGGAAACACCGACAATAAATAAATGCTTGCTGACACGATGAGGCGGAGAGAAGCTCACAGTAGTTACCCTGTCGTCAGATACTGCATCCATGAGTTTCACCGTCTCCTCCTCGACAGCGCTGAGAAAAAACGTCGAGACATTTAAAGCTGATCCTGAAGCGGCCGACCGGCTGCAGGACTTTGGTGCTCGGCTACCGTTCCTCTGCTCGTGCGTTCGTTCACAAACCAGAAAAATAAGAAGAAGAAAAAAACTGCAAGCGTGTCCATAAACAAGTCCCCGTTTCTTTTAATTCTTTTTTAAAATATTTTCTTTAAAACTCTCAGAAATTTCTTTTTTTTTTGTGTTTTTTTTTTTTTTACTGACTTGCGGCGCGATGAAAAGAATTTATCAAAAAAAACAAAAACAAAACAACAACAATATGGCGATAACTAAGAATAAACAGCACCAGTTAACGTCGGTGTGACTAACATAACAAAACGTTGGCAGAAGGAAGGAGGAAATATACAAAAAAAACCAACAACATGGGAGAGCAAATGAGTACAGTAGGTGTGCAAATCTGAACCAACGTGTGGAGAAACAAACAGAAGGCTGCGATTTTAAAGGGATACCTTGATGCTTTGGTCACGTTTTCAGCTACACGTTAAGGAGTCGCTGCGTTGGCACTTGAGATGAGGAAGAAGCAGGCGAGCGGCTAAAACGTTCTTTGGCGAAGTGAAGCAACAAAAAAAAAATGTGTAAAAAATGCTGCCGGTTTGAAAACAGTCATTTAACAATCAGAATAACAGGTTGAAAGTCAGAATCGTCGGAGAAGATTTGGCTCCGCGCTCACGTCTGGGGGCTCTTAGCTTAGCTTGATGCTTACTTGTCACGTCAACGGTGACCAACAGGGACAGTCAAGACGTCAGAGGATTCTCGGCTGAACTGCAGGCGGCGTTTACGCAAAGCGGAGAGGAAGCAAGTTTATGTAAATGTCCTAAAATGTTTGGATTATTTTCAACTCCCATCTGGAGGCGGTAAGCTTAGCTTAGCTTAATGCTTGGTTGGTCGGTTTACTCCGATACAACAAAAACGTTCGTGTTCCTTGATGCGACTAAGAAGCCGTGATCGACTGAACTGCAGGTGGCGTTTACACAAAGCAGAGATGAAGCAAGTGTTGAAACAAATCAAAAACGCAGTCAAATATCATTTTCAACTCGCTTAGCTTAGCTTAGCTTAGCTTAGCGTTACGAATGTTTGTTGTGGTTGGTCGATCCGCTCCTATGAGTCTACTTTGTCACGACTCGGACGTCTGCGGGGTTTCACTGTCACTGGACACATCGTCAGCGTTCACAGACTAAACCACCGTGCTAACCTTATATCAACCTGATCTGACGTATTTGACGTGAACTGAACGTTGACTCGGCTGCATTTAGACGTCACATCTTCTAAAAACAGCAGCTGACTCGTCCGTTTTGTTCCTCAATGATTCTTGTTCTGGAATCACCTGCTGCTTCATTTCAGTAGAAACAATCCGATTCAAACGGCCCAATACTGTGTCAACATTAGCTTCTTATGCTGTTTTATTAGTGATTCAGGCTCATAAGGCTGCAGGTGGAACACGATCAGTCGACCGGCTGATTTGAATCCAACAAGACTTGGTATGAATGCTTCTCGTCTCCTCGTGGTTTTTCTTCTACAGATGTTCAGTTTAAGCTTGAAACATCACCACAAGGTTGGAAATAATAAATGTACCTGGAGTCACTAATATTCCATTAGTCCAGATGCATGTATTTGTGCAGCACACAGATATTCAAGCTTTTTGCATATTTTAGCTTATTAACACACAAACCTCATCGAAACCTGTCACTGAGACACTCAACCGTTCAGATTAAACAGAGTCACGCTAACCGTCTCCCTGTGTTTACAGTCTTCGTGCTAAGCTAAGCTAACTACGTCCTGGTTGTAGTTTTGTAGGTACAGTACGGACACCAGAGAGGAAACCAGCTGTCCTCGCTCTGTTTGTTCTATTTGTGCAAAAACATGGAACGTTTACGGTTTTAAAGGATTTAAAGTGTCTTGTAAAACTTAAAATTGGGGTTTTTCGTGTGCAGACGTGAGAGCGGCGTCGACCTTCTCGTCTAACTCGGAGGGATTTTGAGTCTTTCCAGGCAGAGGATTCTTTTCCCCACAAGAGGAAAAACGAGCAGCGTGAGGCGAGCTGTGTTCCTCTGCCTGCCGTCAGATACGAGGTCTGCACGGACACAGAAAGACGCTTTTTAACACCAAGCAAACACGACGTGCAGACAGACGGCAGGTTAAAGGAGAAATCTGTATTTTCATGTCATTAAAAAACCAAAACCAGCGATAAATGTGGATTTATCTGAAAACAGTCCCAGACAGACACAGCTGATGTTGGTTTTGGTCTTTTCCTGACGTTTGATAAACACCAGCCTTTTCCTTTAACACCAGGTGGCAGAACGTCGTGCCCCAGTGCATGCTGGGAGAGGCTCCGCCCCCCAAAACAGATAAAGCAGGTGGAAAACGACGCGCTAAAAAAGAACCTGAGGTAGTCTGAATGTTGGGGCTACATGTCATGGAGTCTAACCTGAACGGTGGCAGCGATGACGAGCGTGAGAAGAGTCGAACCCGAACACTGGAAGCTGGTATCGAATGTCTCTTCAGAAAGATTTGAAAGTAGAAGTTTTGTACGAAAACACGTTTGTGTGTCTCAGGCAGCCCTGCGGAGGGGTGAGCGGAAGCTAAGCTGGTCAAACATCAAGGTATCTCTTTACTGGATGTATCTGAAGCCAGCGATGAAGCAGATCGCAGGCCGATTAAGGCACGTATGTGTAAGAAAAGTTTATATAAGTTGAGCTAACGAGCAGGACTATAGAAACGCTTCACTTAACGAGCTATACCGTGAAGACCGAGCTCCAAGCTTCTCGCTCTGAGCCCCAGATAACATCTAAACACTTTATCAGAAAATAACTATCTCTCTACAGAAGTAGAGTACAATTTAAAAATGAAACTACCAAACTACAGTACACTCTGGATGCTAATCGATGACGTCTTGATGCATAGCATCACCCATAGATGTGATGTCTGAGTCATGTGGATCTCATTCAACATTTCCGCGTAACATTGAATAGTGGAGTTAATAGTGTTATGGAGGTTATGGCAGTGTTTGTCATCTCACTCCTCAGTTTCTTTTTTACCTTAAACCAACGGAAAGAAGGAGAAACTGGTGTGTGATTGTCATGTGTGGTCTGTAAAGTTCAATCAACGACGCGAAACAAAAAGAAAAAACAGAAGATAAAATGTTCTCCAAGGTGAGAGAAACATCCCTGCTCCTCTTTCAGGCTGAAACCAGATTCCAAAACCCCGACTGATCCGACTGTGAGCAGAACAACCCTAAAAACAGTGTGTGTCAGTGTTTCCGGCTCTCTTCAGCTCTGCAGAACCCGGATCTCTCTCCTCCTGCTCAGACTTGATTCTCTCAGTTTCCTCGTCCTCCGTCTTCACGCCTCCCTCCGCCTTCGTCTCGGCCTCAGATCCTGGAGGGAGAAACTTCTCGAACCTCATGCCGTTCAGATCCTCCTCGAGCTTCACCTGGAAGGGGGGCAGGCCCAGCAGGAAGGCCCGGATCCTGCTGGGGGAGCTCAGGTCTGCCGGTTCCTCCTGGTTCTTGGCCTCCACCTCCTGCCCTGCTCCCCCCACTGAGCTGGACCGGCCCCCCAGACCGAAGTCCTCGGCCTGCTCCGATAAACCAGCTCTGGGTCTCTTGGATGACGGCTGCTCTGTGGTCCCGTTGACGGCCGCCCGGCTCGGCTCTGGTCCCTCGGCGGCGGGTCTCTTGGCAGCGAAGCGCTTGCTGAGGTTGAGGGGCAGCGCCTGCTCAGGCGGCGGGGTGATGGGGGAGCAGGGCGGCTTGGTGCTCAGGTCCTGAGACAGGGCCTCGGACAGGCGGCGGGTGAAGCTCTGCAGCTGAGACGAGTCCAGACAACGAGTCCTCATCAGCTGACACACCTGAACACTGCAGTCCAGGTTCAGGGGCAGAACCCGGAGAGGCGGTAGCGGTGGCCGACTCCTGGGGTCCCGACCGCCTCCTCGCTGGCTGCCGTCGTCCACGTTACAGCCGGAGCAGCGGTTGTGGTGCTGGTGGGGCTGAGGCTGCTCCCCGCTGGGGTGAGGCGTGTCCGGGCTTCCTCCTTTGGGCTGCAGGGTGAAGATGGTCGGGTGGAGCTGCGTCGGGTCCTGAGGCGTCAGCGCCGGGCTCTCCAGGCCCCGCTGGAGGCTGATGCGGTTCCTGAAGACGTCCAGAGGACACACGCCCTTGATGGGGCTGAAGCCGCCCAGAGAGCCTCCGACGAAGTGCCGAGGCAGCGTGGAGAGGAGGACGCCCGGAGCCGGAGCCCCGCACGGGCCTCGGTCCGGCTTCAGGTCCTTGGGTTTAGGCTGGAAGGGGAGGAAGGGGGTGGACATGGGGGACAGGTCGGGGGTGAGGGGCATGTTGACGGGCAGGATGGCCGGCTGGATGGGCTGCAGGGGGAGAAGAGAAACACCGTCACCTCAGGGTTCTAGCAGCAGTTCTACTAGTGAGTGTTTGGTTCTGAAGCTCTTTAAATCGATCCATGTGAGATCAATCAGACCTGACAACACGACTTCCTCAGAATCTACAACAGCTTTAGTACATGTTGCACTTTGTAATCATTTCTGAGCCTCAAACTTCATCAGTGCAGCAGACGTGAAATGTTTCTGACACATTGCAGTCAAATGGAGGTAAAAATGATCCTTTCATTGTCAAGAACTGGTTCTGACCAACCACCATCACACATATGAGCCTTGAAAGTTTACCCAGAATGCACTTAAAAAAAAAAAAAAAAAAAGTCTTGTTGTTTGAAGCTTTTCTGGTGAATTATCTGAAAACAGAAACACATCCAGGCTACCGATGATCGTTTTTGTGACACAGAATCACAGAAATGAAACATGAAACTGCTGCAGTGTTACTGTTCAGACTGTGATACATCCCATAATGTTCAAAGCTCAAAGTTGGTTGTAGAGAAAACAAACAGAAACCAGATCCAGTGTTCAGACTGTGACACCTGGATGGATGTAGACCTGATCTGGGGTCAGTTTTTAACAGAAGTCATTGTGTTTTTCATCCTGAACGTGTCCATGTGTTTATCTGCTGAACTGATGAAGTCATGAAGGTCAGACGTGATGACGTTTCTAACCACCTCTATCTATTTTGCATTTCTTTATTAGATGTAGAGAACAACGACTGTATTGCGGCTGCTGTTACCCGGTGTGCGCTGCCGGGCGTCGGGCCTCCTCTGCCTTTGGCTGGAAGCAGAGGACTCTGCTGCTGACACTCTGTTTTGACTTTGGCCTGCTGCTGAGCCAACAGTCTGGCCTGAGCGATCAGCGTCGCCTTGTTGCGGGTCCCAGGCGGCCGACCTCGGCCTCTTTTCACCACCACGCTGTCGTTCACGATCTGCACGGAGAGAGGAAGGACAAACGTGAGCTGTGACATCTTGGAGTCATCCGCGCATTCATTCCTCCTTATCTGTGAAGACTATGCAGTGAATGATGCATGAAGCTCCCCATTCAGACTCCACCTGGGTCTCAGCGGCATCAGTTCCATCACTGCTGTCGCTCCATTAAATCAAATCACATCGATGTCCGACCAACATTTTTGTCATAAATTCATGTCATGCTAAGCATATTTTCCTAATTAATATAGGAGAGTGAGTTTTTTCTTTGTTGTTTTGCTTTCATTAACCCCTAGCAGTCCGCTGTAACACCGGTGTGATACATCATACGACATTTTCGAGACATCACGGCAAAAAAAAAGAAAGAAAACGTGAGGCGCTGCCGTCAACTTCACTCTAAGTGCCGACTAGTTTTTGCTTCATGTTGATAGACCACGTAAAACCGGAGACATGATGTTGTGAAAAAAAAACATGCGTAAAATGTAAGCGTATGAAATATGCGCGGTGGGCGTCGCATTTCTTTCACCATCGCTGTCATTTTTTGTCATTTTATAAAAGGAAAGTGAAAGAAAGTCCCTGAACATGCAGCTCCTGCAACGTGGCCGTCGGCCTCATTCTGGACACAAACTGTTTTCAGGAGCGGCATTGATAGAAAGAGACAGAAAGCCTCACCTGCTTTGTAATTCTTTACAAATATTTGTCTTTAGTTTGATTTTATATCAAACTGACCTTTCCATATTCATATCTGTGACCTATGGTTACATTTCCAATAGGGATGGACTGATACCTCTTTTTGATTTCCGATACCGATACTTCAACTTTGAGCATCTGCCGATACCGATACCAATACCGATACCATCTCTCCTCCTGAACTTCTTTGGAAATACCTTATTTGCATGGATACATTTGTTTAAGATGGCTTTATCAAAAGCCTCATACTTTTAAAGCATAGACTTTGCTTTTCTAAGAAAGGAAAAAACAGCCAAAAGCATGTCTCAAAGTGAAACTGTAGCTGCTTTATTTGAGCTGCAATCAGACTACAGTGTGCACTCAGTGCCATTCAGATATTTAGAACAGATCAAAATGACACAGCAACATTAAGCTGCAATTTAAAGGTTAAATTACCAAAACATGGTATTAAATAATAGGACCACTAATAGCCTCTCTCGGCTCTGCGCATGAGCAGTAGTAAATGAGGCCGGAAACGTTGTGACCTGCTGCGGGATCGGATCCAATAGGAAGGGTCTGTCTGCAGAGCCGGAGACCGCCCGTACAGGCTGCTGGTAGAGGGCTGCACGGAGAGGCTGGACTCGTCTGCTACGGCCTTATAAGTGCACGGCTTCTAGTTCGGGTGCGCGACGTAGTTGTAAAGGGTGATTTCACTCAAAATATACTTCCAATTTTAAAAAAAAATATTTAAGAAGAGTATTTTTAACCCCTTACCGCTCCCACGTCCCGACCACTTTCCAAACACGTTACAGCCAGATGTGCGCATGCTCCACAATCACGTTTCCCGACAACATACACATCAAATGAAAGCTCAGAGTCTCCTCTTTCCGATGATATAAACCTTTTTGACCTACAGCAACCACAGCGTTGACACAAAGAGCTTTTTGTACAGAAAAGCAAAATGTTAAAATCTGACTTTTCTTACTTTTGAAGGCTCTCTGAAGCTCAAACATCGCTCATTCCTCACCAGCTTGGTCTCATTCTGTCCTGTAAAACGTATTTAGATCCTCAAAGGCACAAACTCTGCAGTAATGTCTTCCCAGCTTGAGATCAGCTCCGGCTGTTTTATTCATTTCTTCTGGCAAAATCAGGCTGAATCTATTTCAGATCGCGCTGAAAGCGCTACAGGCAGCTAGACGGACATCTCAGCTTTTGATTGACACCTAGTTTGGCCAATAGGAGGGCTTTGAGGGTGAGTGACAGCCTGAAGAGCCAATGGAGTGTCTCAGACAGTCAACCTGGTCCGCACAAGTTCCACCCTTGTAGATTCGACCAGTCGGGTTGCAGACACTCTCTGACGCTGTAAACTTGTAGCCAATGAGCAGACGAACACGTGGATGTGTCGGAAGGCAGGATTCTGTGTGTGTGGTGGTATCGGATCGGTTAAACTTACCACTGTGAAGGAAATCATCCGATACCGTAATTTCGTCCAGTATCGGCCCGATACCGATACCCAGTATCGGATCGGCGCATCTCTAATTTCCAACTTTCAAAATGCTTCGTTAAGCATGTTTGTGTGTTTTTTATTATAAATAGTACATTTTTTTCAAACCGGATTTTATATTTTTTGTGTGTTTTTGAGCCCAAAATGTTAATTTAGTAGGTTAAAGTGAAAAAATAACAGTCAGATCGTATTGGTGATGATGTGCTGAAGAAAAAAAAGATACCAAACATGGGCATGGTGAACATGTTGGAATGTGGTGTATAAAGACAAAACCAAAAGTCTGCAAAAACGGCCAAAAAAAGGCCAAGACCTCTAAGGGCTAAACATATTCATACAAATTATTATTTTGAACTTTAATATTTGCCCACCGGTTAAAATGAGTTTATGAAACGTTCCTATTGTGTTATTTCTGTTTACATGTTTTCCTGGACATAGATGATGTCTGGATGCGTGTTTAAAGGGACGTTTCACAGTATTAATGTGGAAAGTTTTAGGGCTGAAGCTGCCAAAACACAACCCGTCGATGTCCGAATGAAAAGTCCATCAGTGCAGCGTAAAACTCGAGTACAACAAAAACCTTCAGCCTGTCAGTGTCACTCACAGGAGGAGAAGAAAGAGCAGAGGTGGCCACCTTCTTGACCTTGGCTCTGGGTCCTGGCTTCCTGCCTCGGGGAAGTGGTTTCCGTCCTCGTATCCCTCTGGGTTTCGGAGGCAGGGGCGATTCTGGGACTTTGAATTCTGCTCCTCCCGCTCTGAGGTGCTCTTCGTAAGGCAGCATTAGCCTGAGACACAGTTACAGCAGGTTTAGTGTGCCTTCTTTCCTACGGCCTAAATGAATACGTAGGGTTTCTGCCTGACCTCTCGTAGTGTCTCCGGGTGCAGGTGGCGGCGCTGGTGCTGCCAGGGCATCCTCCTAGCTCGTTGTAAACCACTTTCCAGAGGCGGTCCGTCGTCACCTGCGACACAAAAACAAAACGTGGGAATCGATCGGCTTTTAGGTCCCGAAATGCTGCGGAGAAGAAACATGCATGCTTCTAAGGATATACATCGCTTTTCAAGGTGCTGGAGGGTAAAACCAGGAAACACCAAATAAATAACAAAACTAGACAAAACAACCACGATGCAAAGGAGAGAAAACCAAGCAGGTCAGGTTTAAATCAGCCTAAACATCTGGAAATATAAATTTTACCCCCAAAAAACTGCTCAAACTCCGTCAGGCCACGTAGTGATGATGCTGCCACCACCATGCTTCACTGAGAGGATGGTGTGCGCAGTGTTCACTTTAAAATTTACTTTTGCAATCTTTTATTTCACATTTTATATTTTTAATTTTTGGACATTACTTTGTTGAAGTACATTTTAACTTTGAAATGAGACTCCATGTCAACATTTTGGCATCTTAAAACAGCAAAACATGAATGTTGTCCCGTCACAGCTGCATTTCTACTGATGTTAGAGGCCTCTGAAGTTGGTAAAATGTCGACCAAAGACTGCATTTTTAGTTGGAAATATGGATAAATCTATATACATACACTTATAGGAACATTCTGGGACCCCAATCCTACTCTTTTTTTTTTCCCCCCATTTTCAAGGGCTGATATTTAAAACGTTGACCTCTGCTGGAGACGTTCAATTATTTAGCTCTGCTGGAAACTATTTTGTTTGTGTCCTCGCCACATTTCAGGGCAGTTAAAATGGCTTCCAAGGGTTGAAAACTAAAAATTCCCATGTCTGGTAACAGAAACTTCTCAAAATTCAGCCAAAGTATTTTATTGAACTTTAGTTTTGGGTCCCAAATAATGAACGAAATGGTACAATGTGTGATGAATTTTACTGATGTGTCTTTATATGTTGCTGTATTTTTGTTGTTGTCATTTATTCGTGGCAGTGAGTGATTTTCTAAGATTTACACTTTCTACTGTCATCGTTGTGTTTGTGCAGCGGAGACGTATTTTAAGATTAACTGAAATCGCACTGAACTAGATATTTTTGGGAAAAAAAAGCCTCGCTGCCGAGTGTTTTGTGGTGCGGCTGAATCGACTACATACATTCTGCAGTGTGTGATTAACGGTGTGACACTACACTACGCCGTACAATGCACCATTGTTCGGCACAGCGGGCCTTTTGTTGTGCAGCGACGAGCTCAAACTGCACCGCCTGTTTTCATTCGTTGTCCAGCTGCTGTTGTTGTTTATTTACTGCAAACCCCCCACAAATACTTCATTACAAGTTAAAGTCCTGTGTTTAAACGCCACATGCGTACGCCGCAATCTGAATACAGTCGTCCTCAAACGTATTCAAACCCTCCCATTAAAAAAGGAAAAAAAAACAGCTGGAACAAATTTTTATTTATTATTGTTTTTTTTCAGTTTCTAGTTATTTGAGTGACTGTTGTGAATTTTGCCTTGTCTTTAATAGAAGGGTGTGAATACATCTGAGGACGACTGTATTTACCTGATGCATCAACATTTCGCTGTTGGAGCTGCTGCAGGTTAAACTGGTTTCAGTTTGAGGGTTACGTCACCGTTTTACGACAAAAGTTGACACACAAAAACGTTTCTCAGGTGTGAAAACCTGCTAGATTAACTGATCAATACTAAAAATAATAAACTGTGGTCCTAATCTCAACACAAAGTTGCAAAAACCACAATTATTCTTCGACAGTTTTCTTTAAAGGAATAAGTAACGTTCGCTGGTCTCAGTTGGAGCTTGAAACTAAAACTTGTTTCCCTTATCAATCTAGATTATTTTCCTCAATCGATCAATCGATCTTTTGTCTCTGAAATGATGACAAATGTCAATCAATGTTTCCTAAAGTTGACAAAAGTCTTCATTTGTTGTTTTCCAAGATGTTTAGTTTGCTGTCTTGGAAAATATTCATATTTGAGGAGCTGCAATTGGATTTTTAGTTGAAATTCCTCATACGGATGACAGTCGCATATCAATGTAATCGTTGACAACTTATCGATTAATCTTTGCAGCTCCACACTGTCACCTGAGAATGACTCAGTTTCAAGCAGGACTTAATCGACTGGTCTGAATGCTGGCACTAATCAAGCAAAAGAAAAAAAACAACTATAGCTGCCACTGATGCTGAAAATATTAGGTCATGAATTTCACTGCAACATTAGATTCGCCAATAAATCTGGAGTTTCTGAGTCTCTTTGCTAAACACTGAAGCGGTTTTCTAGCCTTAATGCTAATCTGAGCTAACCCGGTAGCTTCACAGTGACTCCTGTAAACAACAAACTGGCCTCTGACAGGAAACTCGAACAGCGACTCACCTTCTTGTAGCCTCCGAGCCGTTTGACCACAGAGTACATGAGGAAGAGGTCGACTGGGGATGGAGAGGACGGACATGTGAAACCAGGCGGCACAAATCAGACATGCAAACACAGATCGGATAAAATGGAAATCAGGTGGCGAGCCTGGAATAAAACATCCGCTTTGTTTCCAACTACACACTTTGGTTGAACAAATAAAACTGAGCAGCAACGTCTCTCTTTTGATGCTTTTATTGTTTCTCGATTATAAAAATCCACATAAAACAAACTCTCCCCTTTTGTTTTGTAACTGTCGCTTGAAAAAAAATAGTTCAAATCTCAGTTCGGTTAAATGAAGGTTAAAACATATCACAGGGCACGAACACGACAGGAGGAATCAAACCTGCGACCTTTATCATTTCTTAAATGTCAAGACGGACATGAAAGAAAGGTCGGAAAGAAATGAAAAGGATAGAAACCTAAATAAGAGACAGAAAGAAAAACGAGGAAAGAAAGGACAAAGAAAAATATTGGTGAAGAAAAGAAAGACTGATAGTAGTTAAGGGCATTTTATGAGCTTTTTCACAAATCTGCCAACTAAATCGTTACCAAACAACTTCTTCACCAATATGTTTGTAAAGGTGTAATAACATGCTTTAAAATGTTGAAGTTCAACTCTGGTGGGAAACCCTGAAAAACACCTGCTCAGGTTAGGGTACCAATAAATGATTGATGAAAAATCGATTTTACAATTTCTATGTGATTAATATTTATTTTTAAAACAATACTAGAAATGAGGATGAAAAGAACAGAAAGGACAAAAACAAGAGAAAGGAGCAAGAAAATGAAACAGAAAATAATGAAAAGAAAAGATGAAAAGAAAAAAGATCAGAAAGAAAAGTAAAGACAAAATTAAAAGAAAAAGGCAAAGGACAGACAGAAACAGAGAATAAAAGGCAAATATGGAGGTAAAGATATAAAATAAAAGACAAACAAAGGAAAAGTACAAGTAAAAGCAAACATGATGTGAACGAAATGGACTAAAAATGGGCAGAAAGATAACGAAAGAAAAACGCAGAGATAGAAAAGGAAGAAAAAGAAAAGAAAAGAGAACCTGACAGAAAATGAAGGTTCTTACTCTTCTTGAAGCCCAGGTTGGGGACTTTGTGGATGGGAGAACCGTTGCGGTCCATGAAGGCGTAGAGCTGATCCAGAAACAGCTGCTCCTCAGGGTGAGGCAGCCAGCTGCCCTCACAGCCGACCTCCACGCTGCCCATCACGTTCTCCTGGAGAACACAGAACGTCAGGGAACGGGTACCAATACAGAACATTACGAAACAGGTACCAACACAGAACATTATACACTAGGTACCAATTTGGAACATCAGAATACAGGTACTAACACAGAATATCAGACTACAAGTTCCAACAGAACGTTAGAATACAGGTTCCCACACAGAGTGTCAGGAAACAGGTACCAACCCAGAACATTATACAACAGGTGCCTACATGGAATGTCAGAAAACAGGTACAACTTAGAATGTTAAAAAGCAGGTACCAACAGAGAACGATACACACCAGGCACCAGGAAACTTGTCATGTTTGCTCCATCTCGAGCATCACTTCTGTCGTTGATGTTTTTATTTTGTAATATCTAATCGTTCCCCAGGTTCAGAATTTCCTTCCACTTTTAACAGAGAGGCTTTAAAAAATCTGCTAATTTCGCTGTTGTTCTCCCACCTCAATAACCAGAGGAGTGTATGATGCGGAAGCACAGCCAGAAACCTTAAAAGAACAAACCTTCATCCTCTCAATCCAGGACTCGGACTGGCTGGAGTTGGGGGAGTCTCTGCTGTCGCGGCCTCTCCTCTTACGAGGTCGTCCTCGAAGACTGAGAGACGGACATCCTGCGGAAAAACAAAGATTTAAAGTAGAGGAACCAAAAAGAACATTGAGAACCAATAAGAACAAGTAGATCTGGAGTCACTGAGTTGATGAACTAGTTGAGTCTGTAGGACACTTTCAGATGAACCAGAGGAGCTCAGGTTGTCTGAAGAGCTTCCAGCAGGTGGCAGCGTTTTGCAAGTAAACAGTAGCAGGAAGTTGTCACCTCAAAAGGCCTTTAAAAACTGGTTGGAAGGTATTTAACTGATGTCTAGGTTACACCTAGATGTTTTATCTTTCAGCGTGACGTTGCAAATATACAATAAGTCCGTTTACACAGCAGTTATTTTCAAGCTAGAAGTCTGAACCTTTTGCCTTGTTTTAAAAAACAAACAAAACTACAGTCATTTCCATACACTTGAAGAACACATATATTGTGACAGTCTTGAGTTTCCATTAACTCTGAATTTTCTATGACAGAATCACTGAAATGTGTCTTTGTCAAACACACACAAACACACACACACACACACACACACACACACACACACAAAACAACAATCATGAGTTTCATTGACATATTAAAGGTCTTCTGGAAATGTGACACAATCTGCTGCGTCAAAAATATACACATAGCAACTTGAATTATCAGCTTTGGTGATGCAGAAAGCTGGTAATCGAATTTTCTTAGCAGCCTTTTAACTTCTCGTGAGTAATTACAACTGACTACAGCTGGTGATTGAGCTGGACGCCAAAAAGCAGGTCTGCAATGAATCAGAAGCTGCTGGAACACAGTGTTTTACATCAACATGAGCGGAGAGGTTGCATGAAGAAGGAAGTTCTTCCTCCACAAGCAGAACCTTAAAGCTTAAGTGAAGTTTGCTGCTGATCACATGGACAAAGAAAAGGCCTTCAGGAGGGAAGTTCTGTGGTCAGATGGAACAAAAATTTAGCTACTTGGCCACAATAACCAGAAATATTTTTGAAGGAGAGAAGTTGAGGCTTTTAACCCCAAGAACACCAAACCTACCATCAAGCATGGAGGTGGCAGCATCATGCTCTGGGTCTGCTTTACACAAAGTAAATAGAAAAATGAAGAAGGATGATTACCTCCACATTCTTTAGGAAAACCTCAAGACAGAAACTCGCACCTTGGAGGCAGTTGGATGTTTCATCAAGACAATGACCCCAATTTAGAGGAGGGTCAAAGATAAAACCAGAAACTTGTGGACGGAACCCAAAAGTGCCAAGTTGAGGTGAACAGCCAAAGGACATTTAAACAAATATTAGCATTTCTTTATGTATATTTTTGACCCAGCAGATTGGCATGTTTCCAGAGGACCTGTTATAGATCTATTATTTGTGCTTGTTTTGTGACTCTTGTGTTTTCAGGGTTTTATGACAGATAATTTAGAGTGACAGGAAATTCAAGACCGCCATGATACATACAGACTTCACAAGTGTCTGGAAACTTTTGGTCACGACTTGACACAGAAAACCTTGGAGCAGGAATTCTAAGTCCAGTCTTGGCTATTTTTGAGCAAATAATGATGCTGCTGTCTTTATAACTAACTCCCTAATCTCTGAAAAGAAAAACTATCTGCCTCTGTTTCTCTCTGACACTCACTGAACTGCCAGGCGAAGCTGGCGCTGCTCTCCAGCGTCGGGTGGTTGAAGGTGTCCCTGCAGTACATGAGTCGGGTGTTGGGCAGCACCTTGACGCCGCCCAGAGCCAGCAGGTGGGGGTCCTGCAGCCCCGGACCTCTCGCCCCGTCCTGGATGCGCCTCTGCAGGGAGCGGAAGCGGCAGTACTGGGGGTAGCTGAGCACCTTGATGCCCTGACGCTCCGCCGAGGAACCGTCTGAGAGGCAAAGACAAAGCAGACCAACGTTCAGAAACACCCGGTGGTCCGAACAGCATCTGCAGCTGGAGGCTTCAAACACACGACAGAGGTAAGATGGAAGAAAGTAAAAAAAAAAAATGCAGGTTGTTGCTCTTTAACTGTCGCTGCTGCTGCCTTAAAAATATCTAAAATCTCAGTTTGGTTAAATGAATAATGCAGAAACCTGCAACCTTTATTATTTCCTAAATGTCAAGATGGACGTTTAAGATTCATGGTAGAGATGAAGGACAGGTAGGAAAACAGAAAGACAGAAAAAAACAAACAGGCAGAGGAATGAAAAATAAAGGAGAAAAGAAAGATGAAAGAAAAGACATGAAAAAAGAAGAAAAAGAAAAAAAGAAAAACAGACAAGAAACAAAAAATAGAAATAAGAGGAAGAAGCAAGAAACATAATGGTGACTGGAAGAATGAAGTAAAGAAAGAAAGAAATAGACGAATAAAAACAAACAAAACAGCAAAGAAAGACGAAGAGAAAGATGAACGAAATCTGCAGCTGGAGGCTTCAAATACACAAGAAAAAAGGCAAAGAAACAAAAGAAGAAGATGAAACAAAAAGAAAGAAAATGACAAGAATGAAAACAAGTTAAAAAAAAAAAAAGAAGAAAAAGAAAATGAAGAGTCAAAGGTCGGAAAAGAAAAAGCACAAAAATAGAAAAGTGAGGAGAAAAAGGAAAGAAAGGAGAATCCAAAATAAAACAGAAGAAAAGAACTAAAAGGTTGAAAAGAAGAAAAGAGAAGTCAGGAGACAAAAAGAAAAATCAGAAGGAAGAAGAAAGAAAAGTAGGAGAGGAAAAGGAAGAAAAGACCAAAGAAAAAACAAAGAAAGGGCAGAAAAAAGACGAATAAAAAGAAAATTAAAATCAAGATAAATAGAAAAATATATACCATCGATAAACCCGACAAACATTAAACTGCTTTCAAGCACTTTGCCTCCTAATTATTAGTTATTAATGAAACCAATTAAAATATTTGATCACCTTGTTTACTGAATTAATAAAGGAATCTAATTTCATAGGAAACATTGTGGACGGACAAACGAACAGCCGTCACAGTGTTTCCTGATAAAAGTCGGACATTTTCGTCTCTATAAGATCTGATCTGACGTCACCGGCGTGATGATGCAGGTTATTAACATGATTTAGGGTCTCCACAAACAAACAAACAAACAAACAAACAAACAAACAACTAGACTCGGATGATGTTTGTTTAGCTGGTGTGAATGCCGATGAATGAACGTTTTAATTGTGTTTATCGCCGACGCACTTTGGAATAATCGCCTCATTACGTAGCAGCAGCACATCCAGAACCGGTCCGGCAGCTTCGTCTGAACGTTTCAAGACACAAAGATTCCCTGAATTCTCTGCACAGTTTAAAATATAAACTATACTACATATACTATATACTAGACTAAACCATAAGCTCATTTACGGCACCGTAAGTAATTTCATTTTGTGTGATTTGCACTGTTTTCGCTGCACATTATTTTTTTTATGTACAAACCCGGTTCAGAACCAAAGACTTAACACGTGCCTTCTGCAGATTCTTCTGTTCTCTTTCGTGTTTACTTATATTTGTAGCTTATTACATGTTTAGATTGTATATATTTATATGTTTAAATTGTATATTTTGGAGCTTATTATATGTTTAGCTTAGATGTTTTTGAGTATGGATATTTTTCAATTGTATTTTTTTTTTTTTAATGAGGGTTTGAGAGAAATTTCAGTTCTCTGTATGTGCACAGTGTAGCAGAACTGACAATAAAGTAGCTTTGACTTTGAAAAGCACAACTACCTTTAAAACCACAGGTGTTGAGTTGATTCCAGAAATTAGTATGAACATGCTTTGAAGATTTGGCAACTGTCAAAATGAAGCAGAAGAAGCACATTTGCAGTTGAATTTTTTCTAAAGCTGCAGGTTTTCTTGGAAAAACTGGTTGAATGTTTACTAAAGCAGAAGATGTCCAACTACAACTGTAATATATTTAACTTGAAGCGCTTCTCCGCTGCTTGTTTTGTTGCGTTACTGTCAGGAGCTGCTGCATACGTGAGCTTGGACTCGTCTTATTTCAGTATTTTAAAACCACAGCACGTCTTCTTCAATGGTCGCCGCCATTTTTTTCTAAAACACAAATTGTAAGTATTTTTTTGAGAATTTTCTATTTTATTTCTGATTTCCTTCAGATGTGCTCTTGTATTTATTATTTTACAGTCGGTATAAAGCTAATTTCCACATCAATTTATTCATTATTATCGCTGTTCTTTTAAAGTTTTTGTCTTTTATTCTAACATTTTCTAAAGCAGAAGATGTGGAACCATACTGTCTGCAGCTGCTGCTGATGTGAGCTTAGAGTCGTTTCAGTTATTTAAAATCACAGCACGTCTTCTTAAATCATGGCAGCCACTATTTTTTTTAACCCAAGTTGTGGATTTTCTTTGATATTTTTTCATTTTAATTGTATTCTATTAGTGTCAAAATGCAACAGTACAAGCATTCATACACTAATTATTATTATTCTTATGGAGAAACCGTTGGAATTAGTGACTAATATGAGTTTGTGGAGCATATTAACAGGCGGACACCAAGTTTCCAATCGGCCTCATCGATCAGTCAGAACCAGGAAGTGTTTCTTACTCTCAGTTTTGTCTTTGAGCGGCTCGCTGCTCTTGTCCGGTGTGTTGTTGTTGCTGCTGCCGCTGCTCTGTGGAGGTTTGTGGATGCCGTTGGGGCCGCCGATCGGTGGCGTCTTTGAGCTGCTGCTCCAACCTGCCGGTTCGGCACACGACCACCGCACCAGGTCCTCCACCCGAACCACCATCTTCCTGGACACGGCCAGAACCTCGTCCTGAAGCCAAACACACATCGAGACGGGTTCAGTTATCATCAAAACCAAACCACTCTGGAAACTGACATCTGCTGGAGGTTTTTAACATGAATAATTATTTACCAAATCTTCTGTGCTTGCTGTGGTTTTTGTATTCAATTTGGAAAATAAAAAATATACTTTAAAACGGCCCATTATGAAGAGCCGTGAAACCTCACCGGCCCAACATCACGGGACAAATGAGCGTCCTGCTGCTGGATTTTAATGCAACACAAACCATCAGAAAGTGTGAACTATTTAAAACACCAAAACCACGGCAGCAACGGCTCCTCCCCTTGTAATGGGAACGAACAAACAGCAGTTTCTTGGCTTTATTGTCGTCGAAAGAGGCGTATACTTGTTGAATTTACACCATAAGAGTCCAACAAACCAAAACAACCCAAACTTTTAGCCTTTTTTTTTTTGTAAAAGAGGTGGATGTGAAGGGGTCGAGTGATTCATTCAGCCAAAAAGGAAGCAAGACACAGCTTTAAAACTGAAAATCAAACCCCTTGCAAATGTTTTTAGATGCATGAAGACACTTTATGTCGTCTCTAGTTCACCTATTTGTCATTTAGCAGCCAAAAACTAAGTTCTGTGAAGTTTTGGGCTGAATTTTGTTAAAACTGTTGTTAAATTTCAACATGAAGACAACATGAAGCAGCTCGTAACTCTGCGTATGTAATGACAACATACAGATCCTATGTACACCAGCTTTTGTTCCTACCAGTGAGTCCACATCACCACTTTGTCAAAACAGCAACAAACCTGAACCTTGTCATGCCACACTTCAAATCCTTCTGATGTTAGAGCCTCAAAGGTTGGCGAAATGTCGACCAATGACTGCATCTTAAGTAGGACGTATAAATACATCCATATATGTCAACTTAGCGGAACTTTCTCAGACCACAACAGCACCGTCATTGTAATTTTTTTTCCATTTTCAAGGGTCAATAATTATTTATTATTGTTCTTCTGTATCATTTTCGATGTTTTTATCTTGTTTCAGACAAATTCAGTCGTTTTCAACAAGCTTCAAGTCAAAATAACTCAACCTTGTGTTGCTGCGTGTCAGATTCTACTGATGCTAGAGCCTCAAAAGTTGGTGAAATGTCGGCCAATGACTGCATCTTAAGCAAGACATATAAATACATCCATATATGTCAACTTAGCGGCACTGTCTCAGGCCACAACAGCACCATCATTGTAATTTTTGAATGTTTTTTCCATTTTCAAGGGTCAATAATTATTCATTGACATCTTTTAATCTTTTTGGACATTTTTCTTAATCTCATTTTGGACAAATTTGAAAAATGTGGACAGGTATCACCTCATTTTAGATGAATTTTGACCCATTTAGCAGTTAAAATAGCAACAATCTGGAACCTTTTCTCGCCCAACATCAGATTCTACTGATGTTAGAGCCTCAAAGGTTGGTGAAATGTCGACCAAAGACTGGATCTTTAGTAGGAAATATCGATACACCCATATATATCTATATATATATGCAGAGAGTAACTTTCTTGGACCACAATAGCACCATCATTGTAATTTTTTTTTCCATTTTCAAGGGCCAATAATTATTCATTATTGTCCTTTTGTCAAATTCTACTGATGTTTTTATCTTGTTTTGAACAAATTCCGTCATTTCTGACAGGTTTCAAGTCAAAATTGAATTTCCCTTCTGGGATAAATAAAGTATTTTTCATTTCAAAATAGCGACTAACTGAACCTTGTGTTGCTGCGTGTCAGATTCTACTGATGCTAGAGCCTCAAAAGTTGGTGAAATGTCGACCAAAGACTGGGTCTTTAGTAGAAATATGGATCCATCCATATATACACTCATGGAAACGTTCTGGGGTAAAGGTCAATAATTATTCATTACTGTCATTTTCAATCATTTTTGACAGTTTTATCTTATTTTGGACCATTCCGAGTCATTTCACAGGGGCCTCAATACCACCCTTTTTTTTCCATTTTCAAGGGCCAGCAACTCAAAATTTGGTCTCTGCTGGGTTCATTTAATTATTTGGATCTTCTGGAAACAATTCCATCTGTGCCCTAGCCACACCTCACGGCTGTGGGACTTTTGTTTCTGGAGATATTGAACATCTTAAAATGGCTTCTCAGGTCAGGTGAGCTTTTTTAAGGGTGATAAAACAAAAAGTCACAGGTTTAAAAATGGGAAATTCTCACGATTTAGCCGAAATATTTCTACAGAACTTGCACGTAACCTACAGGAACAAAATCTGAGAATTCTGTCTGAACCAGCTAAACACTGAGAGGCCTGAACAGCACAAAGGTTAGCGCGGCGCACATGTTAATGATGTTACGTATATTTGTATACAGTCGCACATTATTTCCCGCTCCAGGCTCTGTAGATTAGTCGTCCAGTTTCTTGGACAAGGCGTCGTTTGTGTTCCTGTTTGCTGCTGTTAAGCCGAGGATAGAGCGCTAATGTGGGATAATGCGAACACGCTGTGATTTGCTCCTTCGCTGTGAGTTTGTTATATTTCACGTCAACACCTGGGCGCACCTGCAGGATTCACGACATCACAAGTATCCCGGATCCAATCGGACTCCAGTGTGACACTTACAAGAGAGTTGTGGACATTTTGGTTCATATTAAACATCTGGAATCATGTCAAAGTCAAACTTTAGAATAATTGTCAATTATTCTCTGTAATTAATAACACTGTATTGTCTCAACCTCAGGATGCATTCTAGTCAGATAAAGTAGTTTATATGTATTTTTTGTACAGTTTTATTTAACAGTAAGTGAATAATTCTGGTAAAATTGCACCATAAATAAAAATATAGTTTCTTAACCATAATATGTAAACTTGTATGGTTGACGTTTGAACAGGAAGTCACTTTGGCGCAGTCTTAAATGTGTTGTATAAAAAACAGTGACTTGAATTGTAATAAATATAGAAAATCTCTGTTACCTGTAACCTTATTGGCCTAAATGGATTCAAAATTAACATTCGAAGCTTGTAATAGCAACGTATTAAATCATTTGAACCTTGTTATTTTATACTGAAATTATAAAAAAATATGCAGTAAACTGTAAATAAGAAAAAAACAAATGACATAAAGTAACACAAATGTGCTCAGGAGGAGCTTCAATGAAGCATTACAGCCGACGGTGCAGCTTCAGCTTCAGAACCGCACCGAGTAACGCTGCCTTTCTGTCAACATCTGGTCTGAATAACCTTTATTGAACAAGCAGAGGAGTCGCAGGTCGCGGCTGCAGAAATTAAAGCGTGCAGAGCAATCACACAGAGTCTGCAGCTTTAGAGGCTAACCCTGCTAGCATGCTGCAGCTAATGGACAACAACTGGTGCTGGACTGATGTTGTACGGGAGGATTTCATCATAAACAGACGTTGGACACGAACCGTTTGGATCAGAGGCAGAACTGAGTCTCATATCGAACAAATACAGGCACCGTTCCACCCCTAAAACACAATATTTTAGTGGCTATGCACTGGAAGGCGACGGCAGCCGAAATTGGTTTCATCCATCAGGTGTGTTTGAGTGTTTTGACCAGCGAACAACAGATTATCAGGGCAAATATTTAGGATTTTTTTGATTATCGGCATCATTATTTCAATAAACCATACATTAAATGCGCTGGAGGTGCATTAAATGGAAATTTAAATCATCAAAATGGAGCTGTGTCTCCAGGGTGAGGTAGAAGTAGTTGCTGAAGTTGTAATAAACGCCACAATCTTACACAAACAGGCAACAGTTTCCATGTTACGCTAGAAAAACACATGAATAATTCACTTGTGGGTGTTGGTGCAGCTGAAATGTATTCTGCTGACGGTGCTAAGCTAATGCTAAGAGGTTTGTCGTGCCTCTTAGCGTGCAGTTAATGCTATCTGGAGTAAAGTTTGTGATGAGAAATAAAAATATGATTGAGCAGAATGATGATTAAAGATAGAATAATTCTAAGAGGTCAGCTGTGCTGCTTAGCATGCGGCTAACGCTATCCACAGCGCTGTAGCATCTGACAAAGTCACAAAGTAAGATTAATTTTGTAAATCTTTTTAAACTGACAGACACATCTCTCTAGCGGAGAAACAACCTGCAAAACTCAACAAGAAGCACAGGAAGATCAGGAAATTAGCCGCTTTCACAGTAGCGAACGCTATGCTAACGGCTAGCAGCTATGTGAGGAAGCAGCTACAGATTAACCTGAAACAGAATCTGGGAAACGATATGGAATAATGCTTTATGATCCGGGCCTCAACGGGCAATAAAAGTGAACGAACGGTCAAATATTAACTATATATTAATTTTTATTACTGAAGAAGCAGTAAAGAGTTCCCTGCTATCTCTTGCTGTTAATATATAAAGTTTAACGTATAACGCTTTCAAATATCAGTTGTTCTTTATTACCAGCAAGATAAAATAACTTTATTCATCCCAAATGAACTCTATTGCAAGATATTAGTCAGAAAAAAACTAAATGACGTAACAAGCGCAGTGTCTAAAAAGTAGAAAACCAATAAGATATCAGTACATTACTGACAATAAAATATGAGCCGAAATAAGGCTTGAATAGAGAAATAATGTTGGCATTATGCATAAAAAAAGAAAGAGTATATCTCTAGTTTTGAGCTTTTAAATGTGATTTTAAAGCGGTTATTCTTCTGTTTCTCTGTCCTGTAAATGCTTCATATGAGAAGCTCTGCAGCTCCACTCTGCTCCTCCCGTTAATCACCTGAACACAGCGAGCCGAACGTGTTCCAACTGAAGAAAATGTCTCGACTGGTTTGTTGGCAGAGTCTTGACATTTACGTGACGACACAAAAAGACCCTGCAGAGCGCAGAGATAAGGCCGAGGCCGTTTAAACAAGGCTTTATTGTAGAAAGACGACATTTCTGTGTGCCGAAATGTGACGGCAACAAAACCAGAAAAAAACAGACAGCTGGAGCTAAAACCTGGGGAGAAATTCCTAAATGATCTGTTAA